CCAGCTTTCCCCCTCCATTTACTTCGTAGAAAGAGTCAACAGAGTGACAACTGCATTTTTTTACAATGAAAAAAATCAAGATTCTATTTGTGTTTGAATATATAGTAATCATAGACAAGTATTCAAGAAAATTAGTTAACATAATTTACTTGGAAAAGCTTATCAAAAACACGGCTTCTTAAATATATTGTTTAAACAAAAGGTTTTTTGCAAAACGGTATACACCATTAAATTCGTCGTTAAAAAACATTGATTTCGTCAATGTGCGCAAAAACAGTATCTTCAATAATTTCCGAGATATTTAATAAAACATATTTTCAGCAATCGAACATTGCTGATAAAAAAAAAAAAATCATCAAAATCGACGATTCCAGGTTTGGTACGTTTCCTTTGTGAGAGAGGGACCTCATGCACGAGAAAATGTAGTGGAGAAATCGCTGCAGTGGAGGGGATAGCGCTAGCGATCTGGAAAGTAGGGGCAAGAGCCGCCAGTTAGCCTGCTTTGACTCTATATAATAAAAGTTATAAAGTAACTGAGTATCGACTTAGGTATCGACGGAAGGAAATGATTAGTTCGCGCAGAGACTTCGCCAATGATTCTTTGAAACGAAATTGAAGTCGAAAAATCAAAATTTAACGCGTAGGAAATGAAATGTATAAACTAACTAAATTTAACTCCAGACTAGAATAAAGATACAAATTTGAAGGTTGAATACTGACTGCCTTTTCTATTTTTTAGATCGCATTCTTCTACAAATCTCTGTCGCAGTTTTCAGAGGATTTTGGCAAGTAGTGGGACAAAGTGTTAACTTCAATAAACAGCCACTCGTCCGTCCACTCGTTTTTAACCCAGCCAAGAGTCAACGATCCACTACTTCCTTTCCTTCGAAGAGGAAAATCGAAGAGTCCTAATGTCTAATCTGTTCTTGAATATTTCACAGAGGCTAATTGACGTCGGTTGTTCCGTTTAGTTCCGCTCCGACCTGAGCGAACTTCCACCCGGCGTGGCGTGAACTTCGAGGGACGCAGAGGACTTAACAAGAATTCTGTTTACCTAAAATTCAATTATGAACGTGTCTCTTTATAATCCCAACATTTGTCGTCGTCCTCCTTTTCCTCCTCCTCCTGCTCCCTCGTCGGCCAAGAAAAGTTGCTCCGCTCTTGGAACTTCCAACCCCTTAAGCCGTCTTTGCGAAGTGAAGAGGAACTCCTCCTCCCTCTTTCGCAGCCCTCGCGCGTAATGTCAAAAATGCAAAGGAATAAAGTATCACTGTACCACGCTGCTCGCGAGCAAGAGAGAGAGAGAGAGAGAGAGAGGCGGTGGTGATCGACGGGAGAAACAGATGCGCCCTCGTGTCAGAGGAGGGTTGAAGAACACCGCCGCGGTTCCCACGAGTAACCGTACCACGCTTCTCTTGGTAACTTTTCTTACCGAGCGCTCTCGAGAGGAGAGAGATACACCTACGTGCATCTCGAGCCGGCTTCGAAAAGCAAATACACCGGAAATGTAATAATCCTCTCCTCTTCGACGAGAAGCGAGAAGGAGGCGAACCATTGAGACGCTGGCGGGCACTCGGTTAAGGGTTTCCTGTCTTGATAAATTCCCCAGGCAACGAGAGCAATGGTTCTCCTAACCCTTTGAACTCGATCTGTCTTCAACGTTGTCGCGCATCCACTTGTACTTATTTCACGGGCAAACTGGATCGAATAACTCTGCGCTGGGGTTCGTGAGAAAAGGTAATTGCGTCTTCTTCCAAATGATACTTTTCATTTCTGTTATTTTATTTTAAATCTTTTAATTTATATTTTCTAACAGGTGAAAGTTCCTCCTCCCCCCCCCCCACCCCAACTAACTTCATTTCGTGCTTATTGTTAGATAGATTCATCGCGACGAAGCTTGTTTCAGAAAAGAGGGAAATGCATTCGAAAAGGGACATTCTCGTTGTATTTTGCTGACAAAAAAAATTCTCTCGCGTGTGACGTGTGGAAAGACGTCTTCAAACTACGGCAGTGTCAGAATTGGTGAGTTTTAATAAATTTCATTGCTGTGTTTTGCTAAATTTTCGCCGTTATCTTTGTCGAAAACTCGGAAACGAGAAACTATTTTTGAACGCGGAATCGCATGAAGTTGCGAACAGAACGAACAGGAATCTACATATTGTTTAAAAAACTAATGAAGTTTTCGTTGTTCGCATGAAAAATTATTGCCTTTCATTTGCACGCGAAACAAAAAAAGTTACTCTCTGTTTACCAACCTAATACAAAAAATTCAATATTTTTTTATTTCATCATTATTAAATATTACAAAATTTATTTCTTGATAAGTTTGCGAAAAGTAGCAAGTGATTATCGTTGAGTTGAGTGAGATCTCGAAGGTAGAGTTTTTGGTCACAGTGAATTTTGTCACCTACAGCGCGAGTTCAAAGGATTGAAATCTGGCAGGTTAAATCGAAAAAAAGGGGGGAGGGAGGAGAGGAAGAGAGAAGCAAAGGGCCAAATCGAAGTTACAATTGCTAAAATGTTGCTCAAATACGAGTTGCTAAAGCCTAGTGCACGTTTAATAAAGTTTACAACCTTGATTTGCCTGGAAACGTTGCACGAGGCTATGCACAGTGCTCGTAAAGTAATATAATATCAAGGATGCGAGTGTGAGAGAAACAGAAAGAGGAAGAGAACGAATGGCAACGAGGATCCATCTCGAGAGAGAAAGCTATTTTCGTGAACAATGTGAATATTTGATCGTTGAGAATGGAGTAGACAGTGTGGATTTGATCGTTGAGTGGAACAGATAGTGTGAGCTTGATTGTTGAGCTGAGTAGACAGTGTGGATCTCGACGAGAAGTGAAGAAGAGCAGCTTAGAGAACTGAGTAGACAATGAACAACAGAATCAGTCTAGCTTAGTTTGATTGAGTTTCGTCTTAAATGTACCAGATCTCAAACAAGTCAGACTTTGAAGTCATTTTCATCACAAAATGTTACATACACTATAGGTCAATATATATGTACTCTTGACCTCCAAATTCTGCACGATTGTTGCTTCAAAATTGCATTGTTTTTTTATTTGGAGATTTCTTTATTGGTAAATTGATTTGTTCCAACATGCTGTTACTTTCACTAAGTGTTATATTTCTACATCCCTTTTTTGTTGTTGTTTCTTTTTGTTTTCGTTACATAATAATTCTTGTATCATTACATAATTATTATATATACTACATAATAGTATATATTATAATATATATATATATCATAATTATATTATTACATAATAATTCTTGTAACAATTGCTGATAGCAATGCTCACAGCTATTTCTGCATATTTTGTAAATTGTAAGATATTGACTATAAATAAATAAATAAATAAATACAAAAATTACTTCAATTTACCGCTTCATAGAGCTACGTGGGGTAACCAAAAGAGAATTGAAACATGAAACTTTCTTTGACAATTTGATGACTTTTTAAAAATTTTGTCACATTTCTTCGTTGTGTGAGACAAAATTTTTAGAAATCGTTTTGAAGTTAAATTTCAGTTTCGAAGCCTACAATAATTCTTCGTATACTATATATATTGTATATAAGTAAAAATAAAATATAGTGCGTGTAGACCAGCACAACAAGTAGTAAATATATTTACCAGCAATCAAAATGAATTGATTATTATTTACACCGACTAAGGCCAAAGAAATATCTGAAGTAAAAAGAAAAAAAAAGAAGAAAAAATGAAAAAGCTTTAAAATATCTTCTATTTACATAATTCAGGAGTACACATAAAAATTCTAAACAACGTTCGTCTTGATCATCCTGATAGTTCGAGTCTTTCCGCGTATATATATTTCCCAAGGAATCATTCAGGCTCTTCGTTGTCGAGTAATTTACATAATCGAAAAATTACGTCGGATGATAAT